TTGGTTTCATAGAAAGCTATTGAAAAATAAAAGAAACTGATGAAAAAGGTGACAGCTTGAAAATCTCCTGGCTTTTATTTTCTTCAGCTAGCAGTTAACTCTTTTAAAAATCCATTGGATAAAAATTACCAAAATTTCCATTTGATATATTTAATTTTCTTTCCATCTCAGGATTTGACCACCGTGAGACTTCTCAGTGAAAAAACCAAGGAAATCGGTCAGGTGGCCTATGCAAACGCTGTTGAAGGGCGTATAGTTGCTTTAGCGGCTCTGCTTATTGTAGCCGCAGAGAAGATTAGCGAAACGGTATTGGAGTTGCGTGATAACGATTCGGCTTCTAAAGAGAAGGTGACCTTATACGAATGTGTTGTGCGGGAAGCTTTGTCCCTGGTTGGTCCAAAGACGCCGTTGAGGGCGGCGAAACCCACCTCGACCGCCACCGAGAGCGACAACTCCGAGAAAAGGAGGCTTTTGCTTCTCGAGATAGAGTTGCTTCAGCTCTTCGGAGCTGTTGCTGAAAACGGTAGTACGGACAAGAAGGTGATGTCACCCCTCATCCGAGCGGCCCAGGTAAGCCCAGCGTTCTCTTCGTTCTTTTAGTTTTTGAATATAAAAAGAATCAAATTATCCAAAAAGAAAGAGGAAAAACAAAGCAAACTCTCTCTGTTTTTCTTTTAAATAAAAGAAAGGAAGGAGAATGGGAAGTTGAGCCTCGATATCATGAAAAGAACGCATCCATTTTGGGATTTGTAATGGATTACTGAATTGATGACCCCACTAAACATTCTTTTTAAGGTCCCAATTGAAAGAACCAGATGCTGTTTTCTGTGTTCTGGTTTTCAAGTGGTTGGGTTCTGGGCCTTGGCCTTGTTTTATGGTCTATGTTGGGTTTGGAACTGGGTCTGCTTTCCCTCAGGCTTCTTTTTCTAGCCTTGTCTTGTGGGCCTCGGTGTTTCTGTTTCTTTGTTTCCATACTTTTCTTTAATTAATTGATTCTCACAAGGAACACATGACGCAACGCACGTGTCACAAACAGAAGATGTAATATAAGAGAATACTGCATGATATATATCTAGGCTGTACAAATAGTTCATCATGTTCCACCTAATTAGTTTTTTCGCATGCATAGTGATTAATCCATAGTTTTCACTTGTAATAAAATCCCGAAGAAAATATGTCAAAACTCAAGATTGCATGAAAAAAAAATTGCTAATTGATGTCCCTGTTTTTCAACTATGGAGTGAGCAAGTACCATTTTATTGTATGCTTCATATCTGTGTAGTATTGGAGTTTTATTGTGATCTATGATCAGAAACTTGTTACTTTGGATAGGTTGGAGATGAAGCCGTCATGCAGCTGCTTCTGAAGACAAATATAGATGTAAATGATGCTGATGCAGAAGGAAATTCTGCTCTTCATTGGACCCTTAAATTGTCGAGATTGTTATGTCCACAGCAGATAAAGTCCCTCTCTCTCTCACTCTTTCAAATGCACACATAGACAGATGCACAAATTTAATTACCTTAATAGATTTTTGTTGTGTTCTCGTTCCAGAATTTTATGGCTTCTCATTAAGCATGGTGCACGAGTAAGCCAAAGGAATAAATTAGGATTAACTGCCTTTCATATTGCTGCTGGTAATGGTAATTCAGAGGCACTTCAGGTATTGTATGTTTTCTCTTCAGCATAGCTCTCCAATTTTCTTAAAGATCAACTTCCTCTTGGCAAGAAAATATAGATTAGCTTTGAGTTTTCGTGGAAGTCATTAGTATCGAACCAATTGGCAGGTCCTTCTATTGGAAGCCCCAGATGGTACCCAGTATAGGACAGAAATTAAAGAAACCCCGCTGTTCTTTGCTGTTAGGAATGATAGTATGTTGTGTGCTGAGCTTCTTTTGAGCTGGGGAGCAAGTAGGGAAATTCTCAATCTGCGGTAAGAAACAATTGAACCCTACTCATCCAGTTCAATGTTAGTATCTTTTTCTGTAGTTGTCTCTTGGAAGGTGGCCTCAGATTTCCAGCCTTGAATGCTAACATTTATTCTACATGTCTGCAAAACTGTTAACATTACCAGTAGACAAAGACCTATTGACCTGACAACCTCGCAAGATATGCGTTTCATATTGCTGAACCCAACCAGTGTTAACCTCAGTAAGTTGAATTTCAAAATGTGTATATAAGGAAATAGCGAAGCAACTGCACCAATCAATATGATTCTGTACATTTGATTTCACATTCCTAATTTTTTATTTGCAGGCAGCAATGCTTTCCCCAATCAACATAAAAGTATTGCTTGTTCACAAGGTGATGAGGCTTTTTCCAGCACCTGCGAAGCACTTCTAACCATGACAGATGAAGACACCACTTCTGAAAGGTAGATCAAGTTTGTGTAATATGTGCTTGTGAGCGGGTGTGGGGGTGTGAGCACGCAAGTGCTTGTGCATGTCTACCTATGTCCTTAATCTATTCATATGTTCTCAAGTTTCTATACTTCCTGTGCATGATAGAAAAATTCACTCCAGCACCAAGGTAGAGATTTGCAAATACTTCGTCTCTCCTCGTGGATGTGTCAGAGGAGCTAAGTGCTTTTATGCACATGGTATGGAGGAGCATCAGAAAGTGAAGCAGGAAGCAGTCCGCAATCATTCTCATGATGCTAAAGAACTCAAGCGCATCTTTGTAGGAGGACTTCCTTCTTCAGTGGGATCTGGTTAGTATTATCCACCTCTGAAAGCTTTGATACAAAAAGCCTTTAAGTTGTATTGATTATGAATACTCAAGCATTGATCAGCGATTTAATTTACGGATATATTTAACATTATTTCTCTGGATAAACTTTCTTATGTTACTTTGTGAAGCAGATTCCTTGGGTAAGTTCTTTGAAGAACAATTTGGGCCAGTGGATGATGCCATAGTCATTTTCTCTCAAATAGAAAACAAGATACAATCTCGAGGCTTTGGATTTGTCACATTTAAAGAGGAGAAATCTGTTTCCGCAGCTGTTCAAGCACACTATGTCTCCATGCTAGGCAAACCAGTCGAAATAAAAAGTGTGGTACCAAGATTGGCAGCTGAGTCGGAGAAATTGTCACCTCAACAGCAAGGACAAGAGAAGAATTGCCGACCTCAACTTCTACCACAGATGTCTTCCGATGAGATGATTATGGAAGCAAACAAACCTGAACAAGGTTCTTGGCTTGGTAAGTTACTCCATGGCCAACCAAAGACAAGTCCCATAAAACCTCGAGCATCTAAAATCTCAAGCCCAGAAGATAAAAGCATGCCTATTTGGCTAAAGGCTTTTAAGAAGTGGTTTCCTGGGTTCTTACAAGATCTGTCAAAGCATCCGAGGACTGGAAAATATGCTTTATCTTCTCTGAAAGGTGATTTCAGGGCTAAATTTGGCTTAGAACTGGATCATGCACCTCTTGGATTCTCCAAGCTGAGTGACTTCATCAAATCTTTCTCCAACTTATGTACCATTAAGGTTGACCCTGTAGTAAAAAATGGATCTCCCAATCACATGATCCTCCAACCAAAATTCAAGCATCGTCACCAACTCTGTCAATGTCATACACTCAGAATGTCTTGCAATTCCTCTGTTTCTACAGCGAGCGATGATGGTGGTAATTCAAAGTGTCTTCAGGACATTTCGACTGATGATGGTGGTGATTCAAAGTGTCTTCAGGACATTTTAACTGATGATGTTGGTGATTCAGAGTGTCTTCAGGACCTTTCAGTTGATGATGGTGGTGATTCAAAGTGTCTTCGGGTCCTTCCAATTGATGATGGTGCTGGAAACTTGGGATTAAAGAAAACCAGTAGCTATAGGGAAGAGAAACCCTCCCATGGGCATCATCCTGAAGTGAATTCAGCTAAGGATGCATCACATTGCATCCACCCAAGGGTCCTGCAATTCTTGAAGCCAGATCCTCTGTTCCACGGTAAAAAAGAATTTGATGTGAGCAGTGAAAGAGAACAATGCATAGGAGAGCTTAAAGGAAGCACTAATAATCGGAGGGATCCACAACGGCATCTGGTTTTGGAGGCCCTTGCCAGAAAAAGGAACAAATCATTTAGTTACTTCCTTCGTGACTTTGATTTTTACAAGGTGAGAAGTAGCCAGTTGACACTACATATCAAATTATTTTAGCGTTAGAGTGTTCATATATACTCTGCATATTATTATATCATTATGATTATATATCATAATATATAGTTTCACAATGATGATAGATATAATCATATAACACTGTAGTATTATGATGCACCGGGCACGCAGGATTATAAGGAATGCATTTTGGATGGAAAATGTTTTGGTTGCAACCAGAAGGAGATGTTATGGGCCAATTTTCCATGCCAACACTTGCTGTGGTGCAGCTCCTGTAAAGTACAGGCCATGCTGGCTGCTGGTGATTTTGAACACAAATGCGTGGTGTGTGATTTACAAGTCCACAAAATCATCACACTTCCGCGCCATGTTGACTTCCCACCTATTGTTGATCCTGCAGCTTATTTACCAACGTAAGATCCAGCTGATTCTATCCACTTGCTTAATTTCTATATCTCTAAATAAGTATATATATATTTATATTTATGTTTCATTTTTGTTTTCCTAATATTGTTTTTCTCCCTCCCTTTGTAGTCCATTGCTGAAGAAGACATCTCCATTAAGTGGTAACAGATGAAGTCAATGCAGTCAAGGTTTTCATGCAGAGGGGAGAAAAGCTGCAAGTGAACACTAGATGATAGTTAAAGATGCATAGCATATGTGGGTGTGGGCAAATTGTATATATGCACCCCAGAAAAGGTAAAAAAGAAAAGAAAAGGCGGGTTGGGCCACGGGGTCTCCCTCCCTCCATACTAAAACTACTTTTGAACTCCGATTAGAATACTATAGACTATAAAACTACTTTTGAACTGTAAGTGCTCTTTTGCTGATGTCTCTTTTTGTTGATATTTGGAGGACAGAAATCTGAATATAGAATGAAAACCTCAAAGGGCCCGTAACTTTCAATTTGAATACATATTTTCCTACTGTCCAATTGAGTACATAATTTGAGCTAAAACCTATCTGCTCTAAAAGTGAACCACCACCACCATACTAAAAAATAGGGTTTAGTCAGTACTCTACACAAAATGAATCAGGAGTTCATGAAAAGTAGCAAGTCTTTGTAACACGTACTGTAAATTTTTTGCAAATTCTGTTCACATGACACTCCCAGAAGATGGAAAAGTACACAGTCTACAGTTAATTCTGTCTCATGTCGGCCTAGGCATTTTTTCAATCGTCCAATCTCCGAACCTAAGCAGCTACTTTCTCTGAGAGCTCATGTTGTACAGACCGGTCATGCCTTTTCCTGCAAGTCAGAAAAAAAAAATCATTACCACTGATAAGGCGCTTAATAGGAGCTAGAGAAACATATAAAGGATGCAATCCAGAACACAAATAATTTGAAATAATAGACCCAATCTCAAATTTCTTCTTCTGTTACATATATCTGTCTGTCCATCTATCCGTCTCTTTATTGGTTCTATAATATATTATTAAGAGTAGCTTTTTTTTCATACAAACATTAGAATGTGTTATCAGCTGCTATGAATATTGAAAGAACCTAATCTATAATTTCACAGATGTCCTCGAAATCGATAATATTTAGACAAATAGTTAGAATCAAATAATCGAAACAAGTCAAGTCTTACAAAATAAAGAACCACAGACTAAACTAGAGCAGATACAAGAGTACTTATTTGACAATAAACACTACATCAGTTCAGTAAGAAGTCGTGGAAGAAACTTTATTATGAGGAACTTACTTCTCATATACTTTGATGAGTGATCTTGGCCTGTCATAACTATCTCGCTTTTGTTGAAACTTTTGGTTCTCTGCCGCCCTTGACTCTGGTTTCCAATTAGCAATGGCTAGAGACTTACCCAACAGTTCAGCAATATCTGTTGCCATTGCCTCAGCCTTCTTCCAATATGGAAAAGTTTCCTCCTTGAAGTGGTGGGATAACCACATATACATAGATAACACTTGATGCTTGGTCTCGAGATCCAAGAGCTCCTTATTGTTACGAGCAGACCCATTTGGCATGCCCATAGCAATATTAACTGGGAGATTCTGACTATATGATGAAGCAAACCTTAGAAGATGGTACATAGCTTTTGGGTCTCTGATATTAACCGGGGCAAAACAGAAGTTAAAACGATCCTCTAGAGATAATTCCGGGACCTTCTGTAACATATTTGCAACCTTCTTTATATGATCATGTCGACACAAGAAGTATGACCCATCCAAACGACAATTTTCACCGAATTTCTCAAGAAGCTGGCAGAATGTAACATTTGGCAATTTGCCTGCAAATAGCTCGACCTGCTCAAAGAAAGGAAAAAGGCCCACTTTCTTAACTTCATCAAAAGGTTGCTTTAGACATTCAATCAAGTAAGCCAGATCATCTAAGTTCAGTGTGGTAGTGAGTCCATCTGGATATATACTTCCTCTCCGACCAGCTCTTCCAGCAATCTGCTTCACTTGAGATGCAGGAACTGCTACAGTTTTGTCACCATTGTACTTGGCCAGGCCATAGAATACAACCCTCCTGATATTAAGATTTAAACCCATTCCCACTGCATCGGTAGCAACAAGCACATCATATTCATTATTTTGTTCATTAAACAAATTTGCTTGCTGTCTTCGAGTTTCTGGTGGCAAGGCACCATAAATAACACAACAACGGTGATTGGTGTATTTTTCAATTGCAATTTTAACCTCAAATACCTCTCTCCTTGAAAAAGCAACCACACAGTCTCCAGACCGAACATTTTTAAGATCTCCCAAGAGCGTTTTGGCTTCAACCACCAACGGCTTAAACCTCTCATAATGGTGCTCGTACAACTCATCACCAGTCTCTGAACAGATTTTTCGAACGATATCCAGAACACTTGGATCTCCACACAAATGTATCTCGTCAGCCTTCAGCCCAAGCAATGCTCGTGTCCATGCAAACCCTCTATATGGGTCTGCCATCATCTGAATTTCATCGATAACAGCAACATCATACAGTTCATCGGTTGACACCATTTCCACTGTACAAGCAACATGGTTTGAGAATGGGACAAACTTCTTTTCTTGTCCCGTGTTAAGACTACAATAAACCCCATTGCCATTTACTTTGTCAAAGACTTCCATAGCCAATAATCTCAGAGGACTGCAGTAAATACCCTTCTTTGCTTCCATGAAACTTTGCAAAGCATTGTAAGTTTTGCCACTATTGGTTGGACCACAGTGATAAACTATCTTACGCTTCATAGCCCGAGCAAATGGAAACCATGTATGGGGCTTAGTGAGATCTGCTGATTCAATCATACCCCGAAAACGCTTGATCTCATCAGGAAACTCTTCCAAACAATATTCAACAAACACTGGAAACAAAAACTCAACTGCATCATCAGATGGACCAAGGGACACCACATACCTGGCAACATCAGCCGAACTCTTCTTGAAGAAAAAGTTCCGGAAATTATGCACAGCAGTAGGAAAAAATGACCTGCCTATGTATATCGCAAGAGACTGATCGGATGCCCAGCCCGAATTCCCAAAGTACCGGAATATTTCTTGAAGAGTGTCCCAATCATGCCGTCTCTGCTTCGCACCCTTTTCGGCATTGCGAAGCTCACGATACAATTCAGCAGGCTCGCGGGATGCAACATGCACAAAGCTCAAAGGTTTCACTGAACTCACATTGTCATCGCCATTTTCCGACTCAACCATCATTGAATCACAAATAAGACCCTCATCATCACCGTCCCTGTCTTCACAATTCGACAAATTGCGAGCACTATCCTCAAGCTCAAGCTCAACATTTTTCCCAGCATCCGCATCAAAATCGCATTCAGACTCGATCATTGTTGAACTATAAGCACTATTATTATTCACATCTTCGTCCCCATCTCCCACAGCAGTTGAAAATGGTTTTGCATCGAAGGTATCGCTGCCCATAAATTTTGGGCTTTGGGGCGGCAATCTAAGACGAACTAGGTCCCTTAAGCTCGTCGAAAACGGACGGTTTGGACCATCGAAAGCGGGACAAAAAGGGAAACTTGGCGATACAGAGCGGTCATATGAACCAGCGGAACTGAGATATTGATTCCACACCAGGACCCTAAACCTAGATATGCTTTTCTTCGAAGCATAAAGTCGAAAGAGAGAGCTTGCAGGGCCTCTAGCCATTTTTAACACTCGGATAAAATCAAAAGCTCATAGATATGATAAATCAATAAGAACCGACGAGTAAAGCTTAAATACGAATGAAAAGCCCAGAAATTTGGGAACAATTTCAAGGAAATAAGCGGGTGTGAATTGAGCAGATTATAGAGAGCTCACCTGAGACAATAAAAAATGACTGAATTTGAGAGCGAGCGAGGACGCAAATTGAGGGGAAAGTGGTGGTGAGGGTTTACCCCGGCAAAAACCCAGAAGCTCCGTTGGGTTTTGACTTTTGACTTTTGAGGCTGATTTCTTACTTCAGGTCTGTTTGAGATTTACAGACTCAAATTTTCAAAATTGAGGCCACTAGTGGCACTCATTTGGGCCAAATATGTGCTATGTGGGGCCCAATATATTCTGTTAATTACCAATTTTGTATTTTTTTCCTTTATAATCAATCTGTTAATTACCAATTTTTTTCCGCCAAAGTTGGGAAACCCGCACATACGGGTATGACGAGGGCTTGAACACAGGACCACTTGGAAGCATGCCAAAGACTTGGGTCAATCTAACTAACACCCCAAACTCTTAATGGTAATTATGTCACTTGGTTGGTGCTAGTTAATTATAGCTTGTAGTGTAACTCAATACACAAGTACTATTAATACACAATAGAAACAAAATATATTTTGCCTAACTTGTATAAATTGGAATGTAGGAAACTGTACAGTGACACACTAAACAGAGTATGATTTTGATACCAGCTAGAAGAATATAAATGAATTCAATCAAGTGTAGCATTTGTTTGTAGAATAGCTAGTGGACATGTCACTTGGACAAGGTGGTGAATCTGATGGCAGAGTAGGCTTCCAAGCATCATCATCTGAAGCCAAACTGAAGGGAAATGCAATTGTTCTGATGCTTCCCCACTGGCCATTATTATTATTATTGTTAGCATGGCTTGTGCTACTACTTAAGTTCTTCCTGAAGCCCGCTTCATTTTCTCCTGTTTCCATGTTTCCCTGCATCTGATTCTGTGACAAATTGATCGAAAAGCCGCTGAACTGTTGCTGTTGTGAACCATCAAAGTCTATGCTTCCAGTTGTGTTACTCAAATCACCAATTAAGGCAGGGCTGATGGGCACTGACATTTCCACTGGAGAGAACATGAAGCCATTGGGAAATTGATCTGCATCAAATATGGAGGGTTTGGATCCTGTGGGATTGATGGGTTTATAAGGGAGAGTGTCAAAGGCAGAGTAGCTGGCATTAGAAGCTTGTTGCAAGTCATTGTTGCTCCAAAACTGGATGGATGATCCTATGTCAGTTGTGCACGACATGTTCTCTGAGCTGAACTGAGTGCAGTGTGCACCTTGATTGAGTAAACCAGATGCTGCTGTAGGTTCCGGGAATGGAGACCCCCAGGAGTGAGAAAGAGCTCTCTGTGCCATGGAGTTTGTCTTCTTGAAAATCCTACAAATTGCCCATGCATCCTGCACAACATGATGTCTTGAATTAAAGACCAAAACACAGCTGAAAAACAAAGAGAGGGAAAAAATAACGAAGACTTACATTTGCAGGAAGGCTTTTATCCAAGAGCTTTTTTGGTGGTGGTGCCGACTCTGAGAGAGAAGGTAACCGAAATTCATGCATCATCCAGTCAGTTTTGATCCCCTTAGCAGCTCTGCCTCTGTAGAACACAAGGGACTTCTTCAAACCTATGCACTTGGAGCCTTCAGAAGAATAAATAGGCCTGTCTGTTCCAGTTGCTTTCCAAAACCCAGCTCCTGTGACTCGATTAGGCCTAGCACTGTTCCTGTATTTCCTGTCTCTTGGGCAGTAGAAGTACCATTCTTTCTCCCCAGTACTTGCCAGCTCTGCTTGCACATATCAAATACAACTTGCAAGTTCAGTAACAAGAACTAAAACATGAAAAAGAAATATGAAATCATCATATACATGAAAAAGAGAAAAATTTCATGTTGCTGGGTGGCTAGAGTTAAAAATCAGACAGAAAATTTCATGTTGCAAACCGAAACCCCAACATGAAACCAGGTTAAGAATAAAAGGATTAGAGCCATTTCTGAAGAAAGCATGAATAAGAGACAAGCTATCTTACTTGGAAGATCCCAGGGATCATATTTGTAAATGTCAACTTGCTTAATCAACTCAATGGGGAGAAGCCTCTGCTGAATTTTTCTCCTGAGGTAAAACCCAACAAGCTCCTCATCAGTGGGATGAAAACGAAAGCCAGGCAACATCACATCATCAATCTTGTCCATGTCATTCTTCTCATCCATATTTCTCTTCCTTCTCTAAAGGTGCAAAAGACAGTTTGGGATGCTTAAAAGTATTTCGGAAACGAAACCAGACCCTTGAGAAATGATCTCTAGAAAGATTTCTAAGCTTAAGCTTTGAAGCTGGTCTGGTTCTTCAGAATGAGCTCACAGTAATATTTAGTGCACTGCATCCAAAGCTATCATCTCATGTGCCACCTGAGAAGGGGTCTGGTTCCGAAGCTTCGGCCGCCCTTTCAGGGTGACTATGGAGGAGAGTACGTTTGCACGAAAATCAGTATGACTTGGTAAGCAGAAGCTGAGAGCCTCAAAGTCTTTTAAACAACAGCTACCAAGAAGTGATTGGGATTTTATTGAATTATAAGTTGGTGTGCTTCTTGAACTGCATGAGGGGGTTATTTAAATCCAAATTAAGGATCTCAAACAGTCTACAAATTCAGCAAATTTTTGGAATTTTTAAATACCAAGTTGCTTTCACACATGCATCCTCATGTTCAGCTTATAGAAACCACCCCTTTTATCTTCAAACGACCAAATGCAAACTGACAAAACACAGGTTCCTTGTCATAATATTATATTAACCTCTTAAATAATCTTTGCTTGAATTGTTTTTTTGCTAACCATGTAGGATGAACCAATTTTCAATGCAAAAGGCTCAAAATTAAGAGTCAATCTAAGAGATATCTATGCGGAAAAAAAAAAAAATGGAAATTCCTCTGAGACCCTTCTGAGTTGTGAGGGAAATAGAAATATTTCTGGCATCCCTGGATCCAAAAATGCCATTTCTGTTCCATTATTCTAAGACCTTCCATTCCCTCATCTGCCACATATGAAAACATGACATGTCAGTTGATATTTTAATCTTAAGATATTCCAAAACCAGTGATTAAGTATACTAATTGGGGTAGCTCAAGCATACCAACCTCTTTTATATTGGTCTCCTTGGCTTCAACCAGTAGAAAAAGCCACCATGCAAAATAAACCACCGGACTAATCTTTAATTACACACTTGGTCACTCACTGATATAACCCAACAATAAGAAGGCAAGAAAGGATGATGGTAAATTGGTAAAATGAACAAACTAATATATTTTACTAAATTACCAGTACATCCAGAAATTACAAGAATATGGTAGCTGCATTTGCTGCAGTGATGACAAGGTTAGGCAAACAGTGCGCTGTTTGAGCTAAAATTGTTTTTGGACAGCTCTATTTAGGGTAAATTCAGACTGTTCACCAAACTGTAACAAAGGGCAGTTCAACTACTTGAGTTCATAATTTGACTAGTGATGTCATCTGACCTTTAAAGTTGCAGACATGCAACAAATTATGAACAAACAAAAACGAAAGGTTGAAAAATCATGTCTTCAAAAACAGAAAAACTTGTGTCAAACGGGGATTTCACTGTTTTGCTATCTCGGCCAATCACAGTCTACCAAGTGAGCATATAGTGATTAGTCAAGGATAGCACGATATCCCTGTTCCACACAACTATTTCTCCTTTAAAAGATGCAGAGATGCTTAACTGCTACAGGGTTTTTTTTTTTTTGGGTAGATTTCTTTATAATTTTTTTTGTTTTTTTAATATAAAAATTGTGTGTTCAACTTTAAAAGATATAAACCATGTTTAATATTTCATCCTTTTCTGTTTGGTTTGATATCCATTCATATTGAAACAATGAAAAGATCTGCCTTAATTTTGTCAAGGCTTGCCATTAGTTAATAAGCACTGGGAAGGCACAGGTCAAACCCCTTGCTTTCACAAACATTGGAATCCAAAATTCCTAATTTCCACATTTCTTTTTGGTACTTCCAGACACCAGTTTTGAGATGCTGCATTTCTTCCAAAGAATTGAGACTTGGGTTTCCTAAAAAACTCATGCTAGCCACTGAGATGCTACAAAGAGAGAGCTGCTCATGTCAACAAGAGAGAGCCACTAGCATTAATCTTGTCTCTAAACAAGTTTAATTAAGCTAATTAAGTTCACTGTGTTTGGATTTAATAAACTAATTGTCGGTTGCTGAAGTTTGCTAACCATGTCTGCTTCATAAATGGCAAGCCATGAAGCATCAATTAATTTATTTAATAGGTGAAGAAAGAACCCTTTTTGGTCAAATTAATATGGCCAAATGGAGACTCAAATTTTAGTGAATTTCCCCAGATGCTAGATCCTCGTTTGCAACCCTTGTTGTCTGTTCCTTGACCTTGGATTTTGGAACCCATGCGTGCAACCGAAGTTGAAAGTTGGATCAAACTCTTCCAACCCAAGTTTTCTAACCTCTTTCTCTGCAAACATCAACCATCTAAACACAACTATGTTCCCTACGAGTACGAGACAAATCCACCACCAATTTTATTGACTAATATTGCATGGTTTCTATATTTTAATGCTACTTATAATATTGGTTTTTCTTTTTTCCTTTTTTTTTAATTTTTTTTTTAAAAACTGATATTCTAAACTACTGTCTGTAATGTAAATTAAAGAGGATCGATTGAACTTAACCAACTAGCCTAAACTCACATCCGCAAATTTTGGTTTATCTTAACCAATTCAAATTCCATGCTAACTTGAATTATTAATTTAATGGTTTTATATTATGTGTAAAATGTTTAAGCAACACTTCAACCCATGCACACCATTTTCAAATTTAAACATAGACTAGAAAGTAGCTAATTAAGTTGTAATGAAATCGTGCTTCTTGTGGGATAAATTTTCAACTCGTTCTTATCTTAAACAAGCTTAAACAAGCTGTAATTAATAATTATCCAATTAATTTTACTGTGAAAAGAATAATTAAGGTTCTTGTTTTCTAAGATAGGAGTCAATAATAGCAACTCCACACGATAAGCTAAACTAGAGTTAAAGGGAATTTTATCATCTTATTACAGATTTATGCATCATTATCAACATTCTCAATCACATATATATAATATATTTTTAGAATAATTAATTAAAGATAAATCTCTTTGAAAGCAACATTCTTTCAATATCTGTGACTTAAAATAACCTAAGAATCCTGTCTCGTTGCTTCCCTGCTAAGTTACTGTTCAAACCTTATTATTAATTTGAGATACAGAGCTCCCTGCAGCAGCAGTCACTATCAGATTATAAACCAATAATTTTTTTTTTGCTTTTTAATGGTGTGGTAAAACCAAACAGAAAGTAATTTGCATTGAAAAAAATGAGGAGAATTTGTATGCAATTGCCAGATTATTGGAAATTGGTGATGTCAATTTGATTGGGATGTCTAAAGAATCTGACATGGTGTTAGAAACTTGGAAGGAAAATGGAAAAAGGACAAGACAAAGACAAACCTGGTCTTAATACTAAATTTGATACATGGGATATAAAAATATTAATGGGATTTTCTCACATCAACTAAATTAAACAATTTTGTCTCACATCAACTAAATTAAACAATTTTGTCTCATCAAACTAAATTAAAATTGCGTTCCAGAATGAGTTGATAGACCACAAGCTGCTGCAGTGACGTGTATAATTAATCAATAAAAATCAATAATACTGATATTATATCAAGTCATCGACATATTATTTTTGTTATTAATGATTTAATTCATTTATGTTTATCTTACATGAAAATTCTGTTTTCACCACCTCGCGGTTCAGACCAAAAAAAAAATTCTGTTTTCACACTTATTCATATACTCGGCTGGTCTCAGGGTTAGAAACACCATTTCTTGGGCTTTTAGACGACAATTTTTGGGCCGTAACAAATGCACACCATTCCTTTTTCAAGCTAATAAAGAGGTCTTGAGTTCAAGTCCTCATAGTACCGTGTGTGTGAGTTTTCTCCATTCCTTTCCAAATTTTGGCAAAATAAATAATAATAATTTTCTCCATTAATGATTTAATTATATACAGTAATTTAATTATATCAAAATATCGAGCAAAATTAATATTCCTATAATAAAACTGAAGAAAATTATGTGCTGATTGACATGTAAAAAACATCAGCATGCCCTATCATGAACTCTTTTCCTCTAATGTTATGGGAAGCTCCAAATTTTCGCTGCTCCTCTGGATCTTTAACGTTACTTTATCCCCCACGTTGTATTCATCCAATACTCTGTTGAACTCGGCTTTGCTTTTAACCTGATACAAGATAACATGGCATCAATAAAACTATTCTTTTTTTTCTTTCTTTTTTGGTGAAGAGCAAACAGGATCGATTTGAATTCGATACAAGCTGTCTGAATTTAGGGTTAACTGATTTTGTAGCTTGACAAGATAGCAGAAGCATGTTATATAATGCATGGAGAGAAAAATGATAACAGTAGTAAGGGACAACTCACAGGTTTGTCGTCAACCGCAACAATGATATCCCCGAGTAGTATATTACCAGCAAAGCCTCTTGTGGTGGGAAGTATGCCAGCCTTTGCTGCAACACTATTTGCAGGGACCTGCAGCATTATAAAGTCAATGGAACTATCAAGAAGCGAACGGTCCAAGGACAGATGTGAATATGACGAACAGAGATATTTAATTGAAATGCAACTCAAAAACAAAAGGTATATATATAATACCTGTAGAACAAGAGCTCCATATCGAACATTGAGTTGATTTGCAACTAACTCTGGAGCAATCTCCACATTCAAACCAGCTCGAACAACCTAAAATGGATGAACCAAGGATAAAAGAATAAACATATAAAGCATCTTCTGGTTAACATAATCAAACACTTCTTTAAGTAGTGTGTTTTCAATGATCTATCTTCAAAAAGGCACAATTTGTGCTCATTAAAAAAAAGTATAAACAGTCAAAGTTGACTTGTGAAAAGAAGTTAACAATCAGTTGGAACCTTAAAAATACTTGGGGCAACTATACATACTTTTCCAAATTGAATCAACTGAGGCACGATTTTGAGTACAGTTGATGATGGGATGGCAAACCCTACACCGGCCGATGTCCCTGCCAAACATTTAAATTTTGAGGTAATCACTTTGTAACTTCCATATGTATTTTCTCAAATTTCAAATTTGATTATGTATAAGAGTTATATTATGGAATTTACCATGAAACTACTTACCTGTCTGAGTAAATATTGCGGTATTAATTCCAATTAAATTTCCTTTGGAATCTAACAGGGGTCCTCCACTGTCATAGTAAGAAAAAGAAAGGAGTAGGCCATGATCAAATTTTAAAAAAACTAAGGTGAAGTTGGCCCTGGCTGTGAGCTCCTTCATGTCCAAGAGGGAAAAAAATCACTAACCTGTTCCCAGGATTGATTGCTGC